TCGGCCTCCTTCCCCGGCGAGAAAACCAACCCAGGCCTTTTAGGTAGTGTATAGGACTTGGGCCTTAAGCCCGTTAGCAGTTAGACCCAAAAGCCCAACCTGTTTAGTTTTTAATTTTAATTATTTTCTTTAAAAACCCAAAACCCTGTTGTTTGGGCCATGCCTTCGGGCTGTTCGTTAACCCCCCAAACCCTTTTAATCCTAAACCTTGGGCCGGGTTTCCAAGCCCAAGCCCGTGTGTTAGAACCCAAAGGAATTGGCCTCAGGGCCGAATGGAACTGGGGCCTCCAGCCCGTTTACCTTAAACCCTAAAACCCATTAGACCCAAACCCTTTAGGCCCAACTCGGTTCCAACCCAAGCCCAGACTCGCCCAGGCTAACCTGACCCGTTGACCGACCAGGACCCATTGACTTTGACCTGGTCTGACCGTTGACCCGGTCAACAGTTAGCATTGACTTTAACTTTGACCAGTCAATGGTCACCATTGACTTTTGGACTTTTTTTGGGTTTTCGTCTGGGACCCCTCCTAGGTTAATTTCGATGTCCTGGACTCGTTTATGATGTTCATTTTTTGAAATTCAATCATTTGAGTATAGTTTTGTTAATTGTACGCTTTATGTGCTTAGGTGCAATTATTAGCAGCGATTCCGTCATTCTTATTTCATACGGCTCTACGACGATGGAGTATCTGTGAGTAGACCCCTTCTAAAATGCATGTTTTAATAGTAGAAATGCATACATGAAAAGCATGATTTGATGAGCACGTTTTACGAAATGCTTGATGAGTAAATTCGTTTTACCTTATATGATTATCATGCTTACCTAGAATATTTTGAAATACCATATTTTCTATCAGACCCATGTTCTTTGTAGATTATCTAATGGATGACGATATACTATTTAGAACATGTTTTTACACACTTCTTTATAGTATAGATGATGGATGACTTTATACTATGAAGATGATTTTGAGATATATGTACCTATGTTTGGAAAGTCTATGTTCAATGTTTTTGTGTGTATCTAGTGGTCACTGTTCTACCTACCGGTGATGTTACTTATATTGCTTTTTAATTGGGTGGGTTTGTGTAGGGCACTGTTCTGTGCATATGGGAGATACCGATATTGATATCACTAGTTAGCACACTATATACGAGATATGTTTTAAGAAAGGTTTTATGGCACGCTAGGGTTTTTGAAAAAACCTATTACATATTATACTATTGAGTTTTCAGAAAACTTTGGGGGTTAGTATATTGATAACTGTTTTATTTTATATATATGTATCAACTTGGTCAACTCATATTTGTTTTGCGCCCCCTCAGGATATAGGAACAAGGACTACCACTCGATGTACGAGGCATTCCCCTACCAGTGATATCATGATATTCTCTCTTTACTTTGACATTTATTGTAATAGCACTCCCCTATCTTACCTTCCGTTTGTACTATGTATTAGGTGTATGCTCTGAATATGTCATGCATTATCATTGTATTCATTGTTGGCAGTTAAATATTATATTGTGATAGTACTCTACTATTGCACGAATAGTCACATCCTATTATCTTGCTAAAATTTACGCGCATGTTTCACATGTTCTCAACATTTGTATTCATAAATGGCTTGTGTCACCTTCGGGTGTCAGCTAGCACGTGGCCATGACATCAGGATCTAGGCGTGTCAATAATAGGAATAGTCCAATTTATTAAAAATAAGTCCAATTTCTTAAATTTAATTATTTAATTATCAATAATTATCTCTTCAATGATAAGAATTATTATAAAAATCAAATTTCTTCGTAATCATCTCTTTGATTATTTCTTTTAATTTTTTTTTGTTATTTCTTTGTTCTTCCTCCTGCTTTAAACCCCATTTGTAGATTTTATTTTTAATTTTTACAATCAACCTATATCGCAGGTTAATTGTATTTTATCTACCTATATGACATATTCTTTTTTTATAAACATCCTGTCATAGATTAATGTGTCTTGTTTGTAGGTATATTATTATTTTTCTACCTTTCAATTAGGTTTCATATCTCAATTATAGGTATAATATACATTCATATATTTGTTACTTGAGTTAGGGTAGAATGTTTGGCAGATAGATTTATGTTAGTATATTAGTTTTTTTGTTATAAGATATTTATTAGATTTTTTGGAGTTGGAAAATGCATAATATTAGAAGATTTTAACTGATTTTGAATATTTTTAGAAAATATAAAATGAGTACGAGTATAAAAGAAATAAAAACATATAATTAGATAATTGGACTCACTCCTAAAAACACTCTATGTTTTTGGACCTGGATCTAAAAGCCTCCTATTTAAACAAATTCATATATAGCACACTCTAGGCATGTATCATCCATTATAATAGGACATGATCATATGAGAGAGAGAGAGAGAGAGAGAGAGAGAGAGAGAGAGAGAGAGAGAACCTGCAGCAGCTGCACCAACAACAGATTGCTTGGAGTCCCTAGTGTTCAAAACAAGCCTGGTCTTGAAGTGAGCATGAGATGCATAGAAGTCCTCGACGGCCATTTTGATGCAACTCAAATACATCTTCCCGCTCTGACTGGGTTGATCGAAGTCAACAACAACACCCACATTCACTTGGATAGTTGTGTTTTCCACCGCCGCAACCGCCGCCACATTGAAAATCCATGACAAGAGGAAGAGAAAGCATAAAAAGACCATACAAAGTTTCTTGACCGTACCCATGTTTATTTCAACAAATGCTTCCTTAACTTGCAAGACACTTCTATTTGTGAAGCTGAAGCATATATAAATATATGAATATGCAGAGTAGGTACACATGAAAAGTACCTGGAAAATCACATGAAAAGTCCCTGGAAAATCCTCAAAGAATCAGCCGGTCGTCGTCGCCATGACCCAATCTATACGGCCAGAACAAATATGTAGCCATATACTATGAAAATTAAGATATGTACATTGAATTAACAATATTATATGGGAAATTGAACTAATTATTATTGACTTTGCTGTACTCTCTCTGTGGACAAACCGTGTAGCATGAATCTCGACTATTACGTGGAGTGTGTGTATTCATCCAATAATTTTTTTCGTACTCATTTCTGTTCTCCTTCTTTTACTCATTCCTATTGTTGTCGTCTTTTGGTAATTCAGCAGACAAATCATAGTTTGAATTATTTTTTTGTATGTGTTAAACTGTACTTTGTAAATAGATTAAGATGAGTAACTTCTTACGTGCAAAAGCATAAACATTAATTGTAGTTTAATATGCCTAAATGGGAAATAGTCTTAGATTCCACCACTTACTTAATTCAAAGTTGAAGCATACTACTCTTGAGTCTTGACTACGCTACATTAATTGAAAGCAGCCAACTAGAATTTAAAATTACGGATGACCTGTATATAATCTAATGAAGAACTTGACTTCGTATAAAAAGGAATAGCCTTTGAATTGTTTTTATCTTTAAATTAAGGAAACTTTAACGAAAAACTCATGGTATCATTTATTTTAACGAAAAACCATATTTTTACTTTAAAAAATCAATCCTGGTACTATTCACTTTATCCTTTATTTTGTCATTTTCGTTAAAACTTAAAGTTTTCAAGCTCTTTTCATTAATTTTCCATTAAATTAATCTAAATCATGAAAGAAAATTCAAAATTGAGAGTATAGGGGAGCATCCGCTCTACTGAATATGGCTACACGTATATCTACATATTTGAATTGTTTTAATAATAAACAATTAAATGAATTTAAAGATGGACGGGGAGGTTCAAAATTTTTGATTCTACGTGATATGTGGTTCAGATTAGAATTGAATAATCAAGTTATATAACTCTTTACCACTTAATATTATTTGTTTTCTTGATTAATTAGGGATAGCAAGCTGAGATATGGGAACCATATCTCCGCAGACGAATGACAAGTAGTAGATGGAGTTTGTTGCCCTTCATACAATCCGAAATCCTTGTCTGTGTTGTTCAAATAATTGAATGGACTATCTTAATCAGACAAGTGTATGGTTGAGAGTATGGAAGATGTTAAACTTCCCCTCGTACCGCCGAGGTATAGAAAAAAGGAAGATGCATTGCAAATGACGCCAAAAAGAAAGTCATCTACAAGGAATGGAGTATTCATTTGAAATTTTCAAAGATTATAAATGAGGTATAAACTTACTTTTTTCTTAAGTCTAATTAATCCGCCACTTGATTCAAAGTTCAAGGATGTAGCATACGTTCTTGACCCAAAAGGCTCAAGCATATGGCTTACGACTTTGTCTTAGAGCGTCACATATGACTTCCTGATAGTGTCAAATTAATAATTTAAGCTTCTACTAGGAAGACTCAAGTCCACGAAATGCAAAACTGTGTATGGTTGAATGAGATTTTTTTCTTTCTTTCTTTTGGATCATTGAGGAGGGGGATTTAAACTCAAGAACTCTCCCAGCATTGTGGGGGCGGATACTAAACAAATGCTGTGCAAAGTCAAGTTTATGCAAGCCACAATTTAAGTCAGAATTTTTGTTTGTTTTCATAGTTCATGTAGTTTCATAGGAAGTTAAGACTAAAATTTTCAACGGAAGAGGTCTCAATTCCACACAGGCTATGGATTAATTAAGCAGCAAAGCTCATCGTCATAACCTGTTGCAATCATTTACTAATCTCTACGGTCACCATACAGGGAGGAGCATAAGTCGAATAGTACTAACATGAATTAATCAATAACTTGTTTTTTCCATTGAACCTATGGCATCCCCATCCCCTCGAACATTTAGAGACGGACACTTCTAAAAAGTGGTTTAAGAATTTTTTCATTGCGATTAGCAATTGAGAAATATGTGTAGTATTAATTTTTACGCTCATATTTTTTAGGATCCTCGTACCGTCATATATGTCACACGCGTGTGAATTTTCCATATATATAGAAGAAAAAAATTAAATTGTCACAAATGTTTAATTGAAAATTATGGTGGAGGAGATACTAATTTTGTTTCCTTCAAGAGCCAGCCCAGCCATGGTGGCAATGGGGGCGTCATTTGCTTCCAAAACAACAATGGACCTATTCAATTAGATCCATGGTGGTTTCAAAGATGAATTTCAGCTCTCCAAATTTCTTTTGTGGCATTTGCGGTGGCGGGGGCAAATAAGTTATTTTATATGTAAACCTTGTTAGCTGAAAGAAAAGGAGGATAGCTCAGCTGCCAAGTCAGAACAAATAAGTTAAAAGAAGTTAGAGAGATGGGAGCATTTTTGTTCACCATCATTTAGTGTGGTATATGATCACCATCTTATTTATTATCATTAAATGAGTTTGAATTTCAAAATTCGTATCGTAGATAGGCACATTAAATAAAATGGTCAACATACACCATATGAAGTTAGTAAGGGTGGTTAGTAGTGTAATGAGTAAGAAACAATAGCCTATAAATACAAGGCTAGCAGATTGTAATTGTATCGAATTCATTCCTTCTGAACACAATCTACTTTCTCTCTCATTGCTTCTCTCTCTTCGATACTTTCATTCTTTACATTTCTGTGCTTCTGCATTTCTTGTAAACCTTCATTTCTTCTGCTTTCTTGGTGCTGTTAATATGGTATCATCGCCGAGGAACGATGTCATGATTCTTCCGCTGTAATTTTCTGCAAGTGCTGGGATTTCTGTGGTGTTTTCTGAATTGCTGGCGTAGACGACTATCAGGTTCTATGTGTTCATATTTGTTCCTGTTTTCGCATATAAGGTGTTTGCGATATTGTCTGAGTAGAATTTTGATCTGATTTTCGTGAGTAATTGATTGAAGGCCGATGCCATGTCTTGCTGTGATATGATATGTTTGATGTATGTGATGAAGAATGTTTGATAAGGCCGATGCCAAGTGTGTACATCCAGTGAAATTGATTGAAGTATTTTTTTGAGTTTCTTGCTACGAAGGGCCGATGCCAGTAGTAAAGAATTGTTGAAAATAGTTGTTGATTGAAAGATTGAGTGGGGTATCTTTGTTGATTAATTGGTTGATCGTTTTGGAGTTTCATTTCTTGATTCTTGAAAGTATTCTGTTCTTAGAAAGGCATAGTATCAATCTTGCGTGATTTGTGAAGCAATTATGTCAGAAAACACTCTGAAAATTGAAGGGCTTCTGGGAATGTTGACTGTGAAGCTTCAGGATGATAATTTTGTAAAATGGTCCTATCAATTCCAATCTGTTTTGCGTGGATATGATCTGTTTGATTTCTTTACTAGTGAGAATCCCTGTCCACCAAAATTTATTATACATACTGAAACAGGTGTTACGAAGGAGATCACTGATGCTTATAAAAGCTGTTAAAAAGGATTTGGCATTGCTTAGTCTGCTAATGGCAACTTTATCTGATGATGCAATGGAACACATTATTGGTTGTAAAACTCCTCAAGAAGCATGGACATGCTTGCAAGATAGATTTGCTTTGGTGTCTGTTGCAAGGATTAATCAGTTAAAGACTGAGTTCTACACTGCACAGAAGGGAGCAGATTCAGTTGATAAGTTCTTAATGCGATTGAAGTCTATTCGAGATCAACTTGTTTCTGCAGGGGAAAAAGTTTCAGATAATGATCTGATTATAGCTGCGCTGACAGGATTACCACAAGAGTTTGATATGATAAGAACTGTGATCTTGGCAAGAGAGACATCGATTTCTGTGAAGGATTTTGGAGCACAGTTGTTAAGTGCAGAATTGGCTAATGAATCCAGAATTTCTTCTTTAACTAATTCTATGTCTGCAATGTATGTACATGGTGAAAGCTCTAATTCAAGGAGTAATGGAGGTCATGGAAGGTATCAAGGGGACAGCTCAAACATGGGATCTGGCAGTTATCAAGGAAGTTCAAATCAAAGGCCTTACTCTTCTCAGAACAAAGGGTCCTATAATTCTAACAGATATGCCTCTGGAAACAATTTCACAAGGCCATATTTTGGAAATCAATAAAAGGCAATAATAGTTTCAATCAATCTGGGTTTAATAGTTCTACTGGGTCTACTTCTACTAATGGTCCTAAACAGGATCATGATTGATTACCGGACGTTCCAGAAGTAAACAACTTAGAGTCCCATTCGTCGTATTTTCCTAGTATGACAAGAGTTCTACTCCACAATGAGGCTTCTGGACCAAGCTGGTTTAGTTGCACCGAGATATCCTCGAGTTCTCCAGACAAAAACATGGCAGCAAATATGAGCAGAGCTACCATTGAAAAACCCGATAGAAATGAGAAAGAGGCTCCAAAAGCTTCCAAGGCTGAGACTATTGGAAGAGATCAAACTGTTGGAGTCTGCACAACATGAGTTGATTTTTATGGAGCCAATCAAGCAAGCCCAAATTGACAAGAAATTTAGTGGATATGCTCAGTCACCTGAGATGCTGAATGCCATGAAATGGGTGCAATTGGTACATCTTACTCTATCTCTTGCCATCCTTAATTCAATCTATCTACCACAGGAGTTGGTGGTTGGTGATGCACAAGGCCAATAGTTCTCTTACTCAACGCTGTCAAGATCAGTGTGCTCCAACTATTTTATGAATTCATTTTGGCAGGATATCTGTTACTGATATTTGTCTTTTGGGTGACCACAATGGAGATGCTTTGGAAGAACATGATTCGGGATTAAAGACCATACAGAAGTTAATACTGGCGATGTGTATGGTACACGGGTTGAAAATTTGGCTGCTTTCTTTCCCAGACTGTTCCATGCTTCTTTCTCGGTTTGAGTCTTGAGAGGCTTGAGGACAAGCCTCTGTAAAACATATTCTGAAATCACAACAACAAGACATTAGGATCACGAATAAATCAAATCAATATAAAATAGAGATTGACTAATTATATTAAACTTATCTGTAGAATACAGAACACTTGGTTATGAAGATGAAGCCATTGATCCTCGAGAACAAGGTAGAAGTAGTCTTCTACTTCCAGTACCTCTCAATGAACTCTACTATCGAAATACGCTTGTAGTTTTCGTGAGTTTCAGTTGCTATGGAAGCAGGGACTGCTCCTTGGTTATATAGCTAGGGTTTCAACCAACTCCTCCCTATTATCGGAAATGATATCAACCTAAATCATATCTAATCAATTAGAGTCCCATCATGACTCTTATTCCTTGTATTTACTTAATAAAGGTCCATAATTGATTGCATGTAATTAGGACTCCAATATGTTCATTTCCTTAAGGCGTCGAGAGTCCTAGAGATTTCATTAACTTGATTGCCAAGTCAACTATTCCCTCAATTACTCTCCGCATAATTATTCATGATCCTAATGTCTTGTTATGATTTTAGAGTATGTTTTACAGCCTCGTGTTAAAAGGTACGATTGATGTGACTCTAAGTTACTGGGCTTCTGTTAGGAGCAATTGGATCACCTATTGTTATTGTTATCTATTAGACCCATTATATATGTAATACCATTAGGCTTATCTACATATCAACTCTACTATCTTAAGATGTATTTAAACCCTTTTCTGATGTAAAGATGACTACGAATGAAATGATATGAATTTATTTTAATTTCTTCTACTTTTCTTGTATTTTCCTTTCTTGAAATTTCCTTTCCGGTTATGTCGACCTCTGATCCTATCATGCCAGTAGTGCTTGAGCCATCAGAACCTTCAAACGCAGTGCAAATAATGGAAGTGAGCGAGATGTTAGATCCCTCAAACTGGCATTGGCCCAAGCTGCTCATGATGTCCATGTGTGTAACAGGTGCACTTCTTTGCAGATTATTGAGCTAGGGTGGTTGTCTCAAGATAAATTGAGGGACGAATATGATCACTAAATTAATACTGTGCGTGTAGCTAGAAGATTCAGACTATATGCACAAAATTAGCATTCGGCTGTTTCGTTTCCTGTGAGTTTTTCGATCCACAAATAAAAGTAGGTGAAGACTGATTGCATATGTTCAATTAATTGTCCAAAGAAAATTATTTATACAGAGATTAATTGCGATGGTCTAGAATTTGGAAGTCCTAACTAGCAAGAGATTTTTTAATGTGTCAGGAACGCTAGGTGTATCGCTATGTGTTATTATACGAGTGGAGGAAATTTTTTATCAAGTGTCTTTACTTATATAATGACATATGACATATGTGCTTGTATTCTAGGCATATTGAAAAATCTCTCATAGCTAGCTATAGAATTCATCATATATGCTGCGTATAATCATTAAGGGGGCGTTTGTTGCGCCGGACTATTTCGGACTGGATTAGCTTCAAGGACTAAGCTGGACTGGCTTAGACTAGACTAAACTGGACTAACTTAGTGAAGCGTTTGGTGCAGTATTAGACTAAGAAGCTGGATAATAACAAATTCTAATATTATATTATTTAATATATAAATTATTAATATTGTATTATGATCTTATCTTTTTCTCCATCTTTTCCTACCATTTCTGTCCCACTCTTTTCCTCTTTTCTCATCGTCCCACCCTCTCCCTCTTTTTTTCCTCTTAGACCCCTCAATTCATGTCTCTTTCTCATTCCTGGTCAAACTCCTTATTGATTCCAGTCTCTATTTCTCTGTCCTCCCTCCCTCTCTAGCTATGCGTTGTTCGAACGGAACCTCACGGCTTCAATTTTCCCGACGAGTTGCAGGTTTCCCAATGTGTTTTCTGGCCAACCCTCGTTAAATTGGATGAAGTTAGCACCGCCAAAAAATTCATCACCATCCCTGGACCGAGATCTTAGCTTTGAATGCTCGAATCTGTAATGGATTTGAAGAAGCCCAAACAGGCCGAGACTTCCAGGCCATTTTCCGGCCACATTCGACCACATTTTAGCCTCGATTCAGGTAAAATCGTAATCTTGTCACTCCCAGCTTCAATTTGGTATATTTTATATGAAAGTTGGTTGTGAAATGGATCTGAAAGAGAGTCAGAAAGTTAATGATTGATCTAGGTGACCGGAGATGACGAGGAGTCTGTCGGGAGTTGTCACGTCCCAATCCCGACATACGTCCAGAATTGACATGTGGCGTCAACAAAATCCGTATCTATCATATCCCACCTCCGGGGTATGGCCAAGCACAACCCAATAATCGAACCACATAGTTATTTTCGTATGCTTTATGGCTGCATTTAACCTCCCTGTTAGACTGCCTACGTACCCTAGACAGGGATCAAGCCATTCGTAGTTCGTCATGCACAATAATTGACATATAACACAGTCCGATTAAGTCGAAAGGTATAACATTTCTCAATCAGTCAATAGAACTTGACAAGCATGAAAATACTAGACTCAGGGTTACATAACAACCCATCTGAAAATCATGATTTCCCCTCCATCAATATATAGGCCATTATGTCACAACATGATACCGCAATTCACAACATATATCATTTCAAAGAACCAACGATGTATAATACCATTCTCTAGCCACATTTATCAACAAGTCTAGTCATAACAATAACCATGGTATCCAACATAACAATCCCACATGACGATTAACATATCCCACTTCAACTCTCACATAAATTCCTCACGTTTCCCACATAAATTCGCGTTTCATAGCGAGTAACATATTTAAGAATTAACAAAGAACATATTAATCTCTAGAAACATTAATCAACTAAAATACTCATGATAACTCCACTCATATCCAACGTCATTCCACAATCACATCAATCAATAATGTCAACCATCACATCATCAATAACACATACAACAAGTCGAAACGCAAGACTAGAGCAACACAATTCAGTTGAAGACTACATCTTTGGAAAAGGGGATTTTGGACCGCACAACGGACCAAGGCTCCAAAGGGGATTCCGGACCATCACTCAACGGAATCCAAACAGAACTCAGTTCCAATCCACCCAACCGAATTGAACGGAAGTCCAAGAAACATAACAACGGCTCGAAGGAACAAGACATGATTCAAGTTACCTAATTCACGAAACTCAACGAAACGAAGCAATATTTGAGTAAAATCCACATCACAATGGGTCATCGGTCATTTACTAGACCTCACATCTCCCAAGCAATTCAATATGCATTACAATCATATGTCATAACCATTTCCAATACCCAAGTTACATCACATTTCACTTCATCATACTAATCACTATACTTCCAACATTATATTTCAATACATAGCTTGTAACATATCAAGTAATCACGAAGTACAACATTAACATTTAATTACGTTAATCAATCAATGAGATAACATATCATTTCACGAATTTAATTAAAGAACTCTACATAATTCCCAATTTGGGTTAAGAATAATAACATGGTAATTCTAATTTATTTTCACAATATCTATTGTGAGTAATTCCCATCTACTCGAATTTAGGATTCTAAATCACCTTACGGAACGAACAAGAGCAAGGATTCCGGACCACTCAACGGAATCCAACAACATTGGGTTCCGGACCACTCAACGGAACCAAAATATCAAGCAGTTTCTCATAATCCACCCAAAACTGTCATATGTAAAGTCAATGCCCATATTATGGAATTGGTGCACTGGTAATTCAGGCACTCAGATAAGCTGAGAGACTCGGGTGAGGGACAATAAAATAAGCATGTGATACAATAATAAAACCAGCCATCAATCATAATTTATAAACCTTGAATATAAATCTTTCATAGGAAATCAATACCAAACTTTTGAAAACTCCGAGGGAGGCACCCAGACATCCAAAAGTTCATTTTAAACGACCATAACATCTCACACCCATATTCACATACACACAATGAAGGTAGAATTAGGCGACACTATATCCAAAACCTACACTTTGCAACCATCTCAAACTAAACTCCATGAACTAAGGTGGATGCAATCCCGGACCATCACTCAACGGGATCGCGGAGTAAGAGGGATTCTGGACCATCACTCAACGGAACCCAAACCAAGATACGATTCCGGACCGTCACTCAACGGAATCGCGGAGTGGAGTAGGAAGGATTCCGGACCATCACTCAACGGAATCCAAACCAGGATACGATTTCGGACCATCACTCAACGAAATCGCGGAGTAGAATGTGTAACACCAATCGATAAAACAAGACATGGATCAAGTTACTCAAGGTACAAAGACTCAATGAAACGAGAATGAATAATGACACGAGGGTTGAAACATGTTTCGAAGCAACAAACCCCATAACAATGGATTAAAGGTCCACTACTAGCTCTCGCATTTCATCACATCAATCCAATCATACAATACAAACCATATTTCCAATCCACAAGTCAAATCATACTTACTGAAAATAGATCACTGGCCACAAATAAAATAACACTTCAATAGAATTCACATTTAATTAACATGGGTCTATGGCGTATGTATATATATAATTCACATTTCAATATGCAATTCGAATCACTTTTCCACAATATTACCCATCCATAATCAAACCACATTTAATAAAAATAGATCGATGGCCAATTATAAAAGAAATCACATTTTAATAGCTTAGTTTGGTTAGTAATGTGTGCTACTTGTATTTATACTCTTGATTGTACTTTTGTGTTCCGATTAGGCTCTTCAAAGGAACAAAATTAATATTATCTAAAGAAAGTAAACTGATTATGGAATCTACCACTCAAATAATATCACTCAATTAGTAGTAAGAAGATTAGAAGGGAAACTGGAAAAGAAAATAGGTGTGGCAAAAAAAAGTACTCTACTTCTCCACAAAATCTGCAGAAACAGCACTATTAGACCAAGTTTAGACTCCCTTTGGGACATTCCAAACTAAACCAAATCATCTGATATTATATGGGTTTTGAAGCTTGTGTTCTGTACTTTAAAAGCATACAAAGTTTGTAGAAAACGGAGCTCTAAATTGGAAGTTATGCCAAAGGGAAAAACGGAGTCTTGAAACTGGAAACCCAATTTTCTGCTGCTGTTTGGCAGCCCGCGACCCAAACTTAAAGAAGGTTTTGATCAACCAAAACTCAACGAAATTGAGTGAAAACAATTGGGTTACGATCATGAGCATATGTACTTTCAACACACTAAAAATTTTCTCCAAAGGAGCACATAAAGGCCTAGAAATTAAGAGCCAAAGAAGGCTACTCGAAACTTGAGTTTTCTTTGCAAAGAAATCAATTTTCTGCAACTTACGTAACAACCCACTTCCAATTCATATAACACATCCCAAAATACTTCCCGGTAGTCCAGAAGTCATGTACACAACATCCAAAACTAACATGACTCAAAATTAACAAGAAATTGACCTTTGAACCAAACCCTTGATCAAGAAATTTGATCTACACACCCAACAATTGAATCTTTGGAAACCAAGTTAGACATAGGTTCACATGGTCACTAGAAGGTATTTAAAACCTAGACAACACTCGGGAACGATCTCACACACTGCCACACGCGGTGGAAGCCAAGATTGAGGGTTTACAAACCCCGAATTTCAACATTAACTAGAGGAGCTCAAATTTACGTGGTAGCTAGAGCTCAACAAGGGAAACACTTTTCACAACTAGGCCGGCGATAAATTCTAACCGGAAACAGTCCAATTTCACCGGAGAAAACCGGATTTCTAGGTGTTCTAAACACCCAACTCTAAAATGAATACGAAAGCACAAACTAAGCATACCCACTTGAAGATTATGAAGAGTAGATGAAGTTTCATACCTCACTCGAAGGAAATCGTTGCCGGAATCGCCGGAAAGATGATAAATCCGCCGGCAAGGTCGTGGACTTTGCGACCTCGAACTGCACGGATGGAAAAAGAAATGGGAAAATATAAAATCACAGAGATGTAGAGCTCGTCAAGAGCTTTCCAGGGACACCAAGATCATCCAAAACGGAGCTCGGATGAAAAAGATACAAGCGGGTCAAGTTTGGTGGGTTTATGGGTCAAATTTCCCTCTAAAACGGTTTTGTGCCGTTTCCCCCTTCCCATTTTCTGAAATCCCCCCAATTTATAGCATTTTGGTAATATAACCAAAATGCCACCAACTTCAAACGACTCTAACTTCTCCGTTCAGACTCGGAAATAAGATCTGTTTGCGCCTACGCGCTCATGGAATCGAACTCTACCTAACCAATTCAAGAGTTGACCGAAAAGGTCGAGAAAATTAGAAATGACTAAAGTACCCTTCACTTCGTTTTCTTAAATTTGGAGAAATAAAGAACTAGTTCCAATCAAATCTTCGAAATACGTCAAGAATAAAATAAAATAATAATTTTGGGGACGGGATATCACAGGAGTGGTCGTTGAGCATGACGAGGATGAGAAAGAGAGGATAGTCTTAGCTAGTCCCATGGTTGTATCATGGAGAATTAATTTATGTCCGGTGTGCAGTGCTGGCAGATTTGGCTGCAGAGCTTATTGGCGACTTTTGGGCTGGAAGATGATGGATTTTGGATTTCGGCTCTTCTTGGAACTTGAAGAGGAGGTCCTAATCTTTAATTTGAGTCATTTTGGGCCTATTATGGAGCCTTGAAGGTTCAGAAACGTGACTATTTCTCTACTAGGCAGATTTCCTAGTCAGAATAATAATGTAATTTCTAGTTATCCTTTTGTTATTTTATTTCCTAGTTTTTAGAAAACCTTCTTTTCTATGAGGGTTTTAATTTTGGAGTAGTACAAATAAGGATTTTAGCCATTAGAGTTTGGGGGGATGCAACATTGAAATGGGGAGAGAATGCACGCAACATTGAGAGGGAGACACATTATTTTGGAGAACTTCGGACTTTTTACCTACAACGTGTTTTCAATCCTTTTCCTAGTTAATATATTTTCTTTAGTTTTTATTATGATTGTTCGTAACTAGTTCTTTTGCTAGGGCGATGCCTTGAGCCTTAGCATGAATATGTGATTTTATTAATTTTCTTATGAATGGATGCATGCTTGCTTTGGATTATTAATCAACATTATTAAACTATCTAACTGTCTTAGTGATTCACGACCATTAGGGTTTTCAGACAAGTAATTTTTGTTGGAACATCACCTTGAAATTGAAGAGGGCTTCTTGTGATTAGTAATTGTAAGTTCACTTAAGGCAAACATCATGCTCTTAAGGGTTGCATGGTTTTTCAAAGGGTTTTCACAAAGCTTAATGAGTCTTGCATGTTTATATTTGATCTGAACATCACAGATGGGTTGCATGTTAGATATACGTTTTTGCTTGAACGTCACGAGGAAAATATGTATTAGGAAAACCTAACCTTCAAGCATGTATGTGAAAATTCATAAGTAATTGGTAAAATTGCATAGGATTGTTAATGGTGACAGCAGAACCCTAGTGTTTTAAATTTTTTTCCAAAACTGTTTTCTTTGGCTTTATTTACTTTGTCAATTATTTAATTATTTTTATATAAATTTTTTTTTATTATTTTGAATTTCAAAATCAACCTTTTCGAAACTTCTAATTAATTAGCTAAGGATTAGTATAAATACAAATTATTCATTCAATCCTTGTGGAAAACGACATTGGCTTGAGTTGCTATACTATGATAATCTTGTACTCTTGCAAGTACTTTTAAGTGTTTTTATTCCTACTTTTGCAGGTGGTAAAAATCCTATCATCAGGCTAATCAATTTTTTATTTTTATTTTTTTCATCTCTTCAATTTCTTTTAAACTTAATATTCTCTAATTGTTGAATGTTGACGCATAATGAAGATTTATAATCAAATTTATTGCACATATGACATAGTCTTATTGGGTGCTGGGTCTCATATATGTTTTAAGAGGTGACATATAAGTTTTAGGAACATAAGAGAGTCTGCAAGTTAAAGTGAAATGAATTTTGAGTTTTAGAGACCTTCTCAAAGCGTTGAACTTCCAAAACAATGAACACTTTTTGTACGTGAATAACTGACAAGTAAATGCAAATTCCATGATTTCTTGTTTCGATCCGTGTTTCCATAAAAGTCGAGAATCATGCAAAGAGCATAGGTATAATAAAAGAAAGGGGTTTTTGAACATTAGTCCTTGTAAAAGATTAAAATTTTAAAAAAATCTAGTGCTAGATTACATATTCAATTTAATCCCTTGAAGTGTACTTTTATCAAAATTTACATTCAAATTTTGTTATTTAATCTCTCCACATTAAATTTTAATTTTATTAATATGCACTTATTTAGTTTTTTAATTATAAATGAATGTAAATGAGAAAATATTAAAAGAAATTTGTGATACAAAAATATATAAATACATAAGTGTACAGAAATGACTGTGCCGAAGTATATAATTGACTTTTTTGTACCGAAATATTTGTACCTACATGATTGTACCGAAATATATTATAATGAACCTAAATGTATTATATTGAATTAATGTACCTAAATGTCAATACCAAAATGTATGTACCAAAATGTACATACCTAAATGTCAATACCGAAATGTATGTACCTAAATGTCAATACCAAAATGTATGTACGTACCTAAATGTCAATACCAAAATGTATGTACCTAAATGTTAATATCGAAATGTATGCACCAAAATGTATGTACCTAAATGTATGTACCGAAATATAATATATTGAATTAATGTACCTAAAAGTCAATACTCAAATGTGTGTACCAATATGTACGTAATGAAATCATTATATTGACCGAAATGCATTATATTGAATCAATGTAATCATATGTTTGTACCGATGGATATACCGAAATATTCAAATGTATTAATGTACCTAAATGAAGAACATAAAAAATTGTTATCGGAATATATATTATAAAAAAATTAGTTCCCTAAATGTAGACATTAAAATATATTATGATGAATGAAATAAAAATTAAACTTAAATGTAATTAATACATTAAAATAAAAATAAAAAAGATAAATAAAACATCAAAATATAACTAATAAATGATATGATTAAATGTACTAGGGACTAAAATTGAATTTTAATCTTACACAAGGTTATAGTCTAAAACTCATCTTTTTTAAGGATTAAAGTGAAGTTTTCTATAAAAGAAAATATCATGTCTTTACCTACTCCGTACTGCAATGCGATCGAATTATCTGTAAAAGTCAATAATCATGCAAAGAGCATACGACATATGATGATGCCTAATAATTTGATCGTATTCACGGGTTTTGAATTTAAAATTTCTCGCAACAAAATAGAAGCTGCTTCACTAGAATATACTATAGTTTACATAGTTTTCTTGAGAGATTTAAATTATTGTTATCGGAATATTTTGGTGGTCAGTTGATAAATTCTGGAATTTTTTGATGAAAAGAAAAGAAAATGAATATTATAGTTTGGTGGTCAGTAGATAAATTCTGGAATTTTTTTTTTTTTCAAAAAATAAACGTGACGGGTAAAATAATAGAAAAGACTAAACAATTGAACTAAAGATACTTGTCTCGTTGATTTCCTCCACAAACTTTAAGTCACTATCATCTTTTATGTTTTTGAAATATAATTGGTCACCTTCTCACTTTACGAAAGCTTCACCAACTTTAATAAGTATATATCCCTTTGATTTTTATTGTTCTTTATTTTTTTTGTCAAAAAGTATATATCCCTTTGATTAAATTGCCTTATTATTTCTTGAAAGTTAGTTAAAGTTCCAATTAACTTATAACAATGATAATTAAATGATGTCACTAGTCTCACTAATACCCCATGTATAAATTGACATTAGGCCATTCTCACTTGACAGTTCATCCTGTTGGGCCCCTCTTCGGTATCCTTTCCATTTCATATATTCCTTAACCATTGCCTTATGCTCCAATCATATTTTTTTTTAATGCACCAACCTTTTGTCCGTTCATATCAAGATTTGCCAATTTGATATACATGATTCGCTTGTTCTTAAATTATTGGATTGCCGTTAATTGATGTGAATCTCACATAATAAATCTTATATCGATGGTATTTTGTTGTCACTGACTCAACTGATGCATGCATAATCATGCACTTGCGAAAGCATGAATCACGTCTAGGGCTCTAAATTCAACCCTCCAATAATCACACACTTCGGACAAGACAACCCAAAAACTGGAATTTTCCTGCAGCAGCGCTTTACTCAACAATCACGTTTCCTCTCTCATTTTTCTTAATCAACTTTTGACAGATGGAATCAAACTCCACCACACACACTTCAAGGAATGCTTTGTTATCATTTGTTGTCTGCAGATGATTTAACCAATGTCCAAGATTTCATAATTCTTCTTTATATAAGCTGCTTCAGTTCAACTATCCATGTGGGGAAGTTGGAGTTAAAAGCGCATCAATGGTGATATATGAGTTGTGATCCTTGTACAAGTCATTTTGACATCAGGTAGAACAACATCATGGAAGTTTTTTCGAGGTCTTCGCGAGCTGAAGACGATGAAGAAGCTCTGAAATGGGCTGCGCTTGAAAGGCTGCCTACTTGTTTACGTGTTGGAAGAGGCTTATTCATTGATGGTGAGGGACAAGCTAGAGAGGTTGATGTGGAGAATCTTGGCTTGTTGGAGAGAAAGACTTTGTTGGAAAGGCTGGTGAGCAATGCAGAGAAAGATAATGAGAAGTTCTTGTTGAAGCTCAAGAACCGCATTGATCGGTGAGTTTCATGCCATAATTCTTGTGTGTTTAACTCTTTGGGAGAATTTTAATGAGGTTTTTGTGTTCATCTTTCTATGTTTTTCCACATTTGAATACAGAGTTGGTCTTAATGTGCCAACAATTGAAGTCCGGTTCGAGCATCTGACTGTGGAGGCAAAAGTTTATATTGGCAGCAGAGCACTGCCTACGTTACTCAACTTTTCAATCAACATGTTGCAGGTAAATCTTTTGAATCGCATAAAGAAAGTAAAAAATATATTCCAAGTTCGGCAATTTATCTTTCAAAATGAATAACTTACAAGACTCCTCCTGGTATAGGGAATGCTACATGATCTTCGAATTTTTCCGAGTAGAAAGATGCCTCTAAAAATCCTTCAAAACATTAGTGGAATCATCAAGCCTCAAAGGTGAGTTAAAATTTTTGTTAAAACACTTCAATGTGCATTTTCCAAACAGTTCTTGACTTCTTATCTAACTAACGAATGTAATTCCTGCAGAATGACTTTACTCTTAGGTCCCCCAAGCTCTGGAAAAACCACGTTACTATTGGCGTTGGCCGGAAGACTTGGTAGAGATTTAAATGTAAGAAAACTAAAGTATAGTGTTTTTTCCCTTCTTTAGTTCATATCACTTCTGGCCTAATAGGGTAATTGATGAATCTTAAGTCTTCCGGGCGGATTACATATAACGGACATGGGATGGAAGAATTTGTACCTCAGAGAACATCGGCTTATGTAAGTCAAAACGATCTCCATATAGGAGAGCTGACAGTGAAAGAGACATTTGCTTTCTCGGCTAGATGTCAAGGAGTTGGATCAAATTGCGGTTAGTCAAAACACCATTTGCTCGATACAGTTCATTTTTCGTTCCAAACAGTTTCAAGGGTTATCTCATACTTGGAAATTTGCAGACATGTTGGTGGAACTGTGTAGAAGAGAGAAGGAGCAAAATATCAAGCCTGATCCTGACATTGACATATACCTGAAGGCAAGTAAACAGATTGAAGAGAAAAAAAAAATAACATGCCCTTTTTACGTGGATGAAGTTTTCGTTATATAAAAATCTTCTGACACCAAAAATTCTGCAGGCAGCGGCTCTAGAAGGGCAGGAGACTAATGTAGTTACTGATTACATTCTCAAGGTATGGCATTTGGAATTCATTTCAGCTTTGAGATAGCACAACAATTGGAATTCATCCATTTAACTTCATGTTTCTACTTTTGATACATTGCAGATTCTCGGACTTGAAGTCTGTGCCAATACTATGGTGGGAGATGATATGGTAAGAGGCATCTCTGGTGGAGAAAGAAAGCGAGTCACCATAGGTAAAACATAGAACAAATTATTGTGGGTCGAAAAGTCCTTTTAATTTCACAATCTTCTGAGGTTTCCATGTACTAATGATGCAGGGGAGATGCTTGTTGGACCGGTAAAAGCTCTCTTCATGGATGAGATTTCAACCGGCTTGGACAGTTCGACAACTTTCCAAATAGTAAATTCAATCAGGCAATCCATCCACATTCTAAGTGGAACTGCAGTGGTCTCCCTCCTCCAGCCAGCCCCTGAAACTTATAACCTCTTTGATGACATAATTCTTCTATCAGATGGACAAATCGTGTATCAGGGTCCGCGTGAAAATGTGCTCGAGTTTTTTGAATCCATGGGCTTCATATGTCCGGAGAGAAAAGGAGTTGCTGACTTCTTGCAAGAGGTGATATCGCTTTTGAATCTCTTCACCTTTCTTGCATGCATGTTTTCGAGTACTCTCCATAGCTTATCGTTTATTTTTAACACTTCCCTTCCGGTGGGGGTGTGATAGGTGACATCAAAGAAGGATCAAGAGCAGTACTGGGCACGTCGAGACAAGCCTTACAGATTTGTTACTGTCAATGAGTTTGTCGAAGCTTTCCAGTCATTTCCAATTGGTCAGAAACTCGGCGACGAGCTTGCTACTCCCTTCGACAAGTCCAGAAGTCATCGTGCTGCTTTATCATCTAAAAGGTATGGCGTTAACAAGAAGGAGTTGTTCCGAGCATGCGTTTCAAGAGAGTTCTTGCTCATGAAGAGGAACTCATTTGCCTACGTTTTCAAACTTGCCCTAGTGAGTAAATCATAAATAGAAATTATTTTGCATAGTACTTGACCTAATGTGGTAATTCTAGCTTATAATTCTTCCTGTTTACCTTGATTTTCAGCTTAGTATCTTAGCTTCTATAACATCATCGATATTTCTACGAATCAAGATGCATAAGGACTCAGTGGTGGATGGTGGAGTTTACATGGGAGCTTTGTTCTTCGCAGTCATTGTAGCGATGTTTAACGGAATATCAGAACTCAACATGGCAATTATGAAACTTCCTGTCTTTTACAAGCAGAGAGACCTTCTCTTCTTTCCTTCCTGGGCTTACTCACTTCCTGCATGGATCCTCAAGATCCCAATCAGTTTGGGCGAAAGTGCCATTTGGGTTGTCATTACTTATTATGCGATAGGATTTGATCCATATGTTGAAAGGTGAGAAGAAGTAAAGCATCAAACTTTTCGGTTTGATAAGGGTTTGATGGAAACTCCTTGTTGCAGGTTCTTCAAGCAGTACATTGTACTCTTGTGCATAAACCAGATGGCGTCTGGGCTGTTCAGGTTGATAGCAGCCTTAGGAAGGGATGTAACAGTTGCAAGCACAACAGGATCCTTTGCACTGCTTATAATTATGGTTTTGGGCGGATTCGTCTTATCTCGAGGTCATTTAACTATAGAAGCAATAAGATTCCTAGTTATCACTCCTGGTGTGATTTAAATTTGAACTGTGAAACCTATTTTTCTTGTATCAGATGCTGTTCCAAAATGGTGGCTGTGGGGTTACTGGGTCTCGCCATTGATGTATGGACAAAATGCTATTACTGTGAATGAATTTCTTGGAAAGAGTTGGAGACAAGTAACCATCTCTCTCTCTCTCTCTCTCTCTCTCTCTCTCTCTCTTTGAGTTTGTATATCCTACGAAAAAAAATGATACGAGATAGAATGGTTGTGATCAATGCTTATGTGGAGATACCACGTGTGTTATAGGTTCCACCGAATTCTACAGAATCCTTGGGAGTTCTGATCCTGAAGTCTCATGGAATTTTCCCAGAAGCAAAATTGTTTTGGATTGGAGTAGCAGCATTGATTGGATATATTTTTCTATTCAATCTCCTCCTTACTTTGGCTCTGCAGTATCTTGATCGTAAGTATCCGCATCATTATTATGCTCTTTGTGCTTTGATTGTTGGACTTATTTGTCTGAAAATTTGACAAATACTGCAGCACTCGGGAAGCCTCAGACAATACTAACCAAAGAAAGCATGGCTGAGAGAAATTTTAGCAGAAATGGAGAGTTCATTGAGCTAATACCAAGGGGAAATATCTCTTCTGGTGAGTCATTCAGTTAATCTCAATCATTTCCCATTTATTTTCTGCTTAACATACCACATTGTATTCAAGCGTTGTGATCTGCAATAACAATGCAGAATCCGAAAGGGTGGGAAGAACTGATGAAGCTAATGGAAAAAGGAAGCGAGGGATGGTTCTTCCTTTTCAACCCCTTTCCCTCACTTTCAATGAGATCAGATATGCCATAGATATGCCACAAGTAAGTTGCGGGTTTAATTAATCAGTGAATAATACCTGCATACTGAATTTTCCATGTACTTCAGGAAATGAAAGCGGAGGGTGTTCAGGAGGATCAGCTTGAACTTCTGAAGGGTGTAAGTGGTGCTTTTAGGCCAGGAGTCTTAACAGCTTTAATGGGAGTCAGTGGTGCTGGCAAGACCACTCTAATGGATGTGTTGGCTGGAAGGAAAACTGGTGGACATATCAAGGGAAACATCACGATCTCTGGCTATCCTAAAAGGCAACAAACATTCGCTCGCATATCTGGATACTGTGAGCAAACTGATATCCACTCCCCCCATGTGACAGTCTATGAATCTCTACTTTTTTCTGCGTGGCTCCGGCTACTACCTGAGGTTGATTCTGCAACAAGAGAGGTATGAGTTTTGTATTCTTCTTTAACAGACGCTAAAAACAAAAATAAAACATCAGTATGTACACATTGATCTGATATTTTTCTGGTTCAAGATGTTTATCGAGGAAGTCATGGAACTTGTGGAGCTGACTTCATTCAGGGGAGCTCTTGTGGGATTACCTGGTGTAACCGGTCTTTCAACTGAGCAGCGCAAAAGGCTAACAATCGCGGTTGAGCTCGTTGCAAATCCATCGATAATCTTCATGGACGAACCAACATCTGGCCTCGATGCTAGGGCAGCAGCGATTGTGATGAGAACAGTGAGGAACACAGTGGACACCGGAAGAACCGTGGTTTGTACCATCCACCAGCCAAGCATAGATATATTCGATGCTTTCGATGAGGTTACATTTATAATATTCAGAAAGGAACTGATTACCTGTTTTGCCTTGTAAATGTTCTAAGCAATTCATATCGTATCACAGCTTCTTCTTCTGAAATTGGGAGGTGAGCAAATATATGCCGGTCCATTAGGCTCCCATTGCTCCATTCTGATCAATTATTTTGAGGTCAGTACTATACAGAAATAAATCATAAAATATATATTCTTCGTAGCATCAGAAATTCTCTGTGCAAGATGTCTGTTCTACAGCCAGACTATCCATAACATTGTCAACAACTAACTTTTGTATTCTTGTTTTTCTTTTGCCGCATGAAGGGAATCAATGGAGTTCCAAAGATTAAAGATGGATATAACCCGGCAACCTGGATGCTGGAGGTTACTTCAGCCGCACAAGAGGCAGCTCTTGGTGTTAACTTCACAGATGCGTACAATAACTCGGAAATATATAAGTAAGCGTTCCATTTCAATTATCTTTCAGATAGATTGTTAGTGAACACAGTAAAACCTTATATTTATCAGCCTGCACAGTTGATTCCTATTGCTCTTTAAAACCATTAAACTCTTAAGGTGAATATTTCAGGAGAACCAAAGCAATGATTGAGGAATTAAACACACCTCCCTTGGGTTCTCAAGATCTATACTTCCCTACTCGCTACTCACGATCTTTTCTCACCCAATGTATGGCTTGCCTGTGGAAACAGCACTGGTCATATTGGCGAAACCCATCATATAGTGCAGTAAGGCTGTTGTTCACAACGTTCATTGCTTTATTATTCGGTTTGATATTCTGGAACCTTGGATCAAAAAGGTACGCACATAAGTAAACTTAAAGCGTAGAAATGGTCTGCAGAACTTCAATTTCTTAATCACCAATATGTTCAAACTTTTTTTGGGAAACCACAGGAGTAAGCAGCAAGATCTCTTTAATGCAATGGGTTCCATGTACGCTGCTGTTATCTTTATCGGGGTACAAAATGGTGCCTCAGTGCAGCCGGTTGTGGCTGTTGAGAGAACGGTCTTTTACAGAGAAAGAGCAGCTGGAATGTATTCCGCTTTGCCATACGCATTTGGGCAGGTAAAAGACTTGCAATAGTCCATGAAGTTCAAATTAAAACTAGACTTCTCATGTCGAAAAATTCAAAGAACACACGCTCTCTACTCACCAAGTCACATTGTGTTGCAGATGATGATTGAGGTTCCCTACATCTTCATTCAGACCGTTATTTACGGAGCTATAGTATACGCCATGATGGGATTCGATTGGATAGCGGCCAAGTTCTTATGGTATCTTTTCTTCATGTTCTTCACCTTGCTGTACTTCACATTCTATGGCATGATGACCATGGCTCTCACTCCCAACCACAACATTGCTGCCATAACTTCATCTACCTTCTACGCAATCTGGAACCTCTTCTCGGGATTTGTTGTTCCCCCAACGGTAAGCCTATACATACATGTACATGCATACGCTCATACATATATTCTTGTGTGCCTTCGATGCAATCTGACCTAAGTTTTGGTTATCGCAGAGGATTCCGATATGGTGGAAATGGTACTATTGGGTCTGCCCTGTTGCCTGGACCTTGTATGGAATGGTTGCTTCGCAATTTGGAGACGTAAAGGAGAAACTGGAGTCAGGAGAATCGGTAGAGCATTTTTTGAGAAGTTACTTCGGATACAAGCATGAGTTTCTGGGCATCGTAGCAGTTGTGATTGTTGGGTTTTCATTGCTGTTTGGCTTCATCTTTGCCTATGCAATTAGAGCATTTAATTTCCAAAAAAGATGAGAGATGTTACACAAAGAAATATCTATGACTCTAATTAGTTTGTAGGAAGCAGATAGCATTTGTCACTTCGATTGTACCATTCATCCATCACTGTTATATATTGTAATATTATTGGGATTTTTTTTTATTTATTTTTTTAATCAAGAAATAAACTTCATTCAAGCTTAAAACTTTTTGTACAATCGTTTCCCATACAATCAAATATAAAAGCTTTATAAGCTAAGATAAGGTGAGTCCGTGATGTGCCAGGGCGTCAGCTACAATATTCCTCCTCTTCTGTTCAAGCCTCTCGTGAATTAGAAGCCAAGCAAATATTTTCACCTTTGGGGGAATCAACAGATTCGACATTTTGTTTAGCAACTTTTGTCTACTTACATCCTCGTAGTTATGACTTTGTAACCAAGTTGCAGTCTTAATTGAAAATTATCCATTAGTTGAAGCACCCCACACAAAACTATCACTTGTATTCTGAATAGGAAGAGGAATATTACAATTTTTCCTAACAATGTCCTGATCAACAACTTCAACCAGTCGATTTCTATCTCAACAATTATTGTCAATAAAATCACCGACTCTTAACTCCCAGTTCAAACTTGTCGGCTGACTCTCTGGAATTAATTGGTATGGTGGGTGATGAAAAACTCATTGATGGGTCCAAAATAAGCTATCTACCTCGTGCCCTTAGGTATGATGTTCTTATTATTGAGGATGCCCTTTCAAGGCAAAGAGTAAGGAAAAATCTATTGATGGGTCCATAATAAAATGTCCTTACCGTTATCCACTATCTATCTCATACCCTTGTGTATGGTAGTTCTATTGTTGAAGATGCCTTTTAAGGGCAAAGAGTAATTTCGTTTAACATTACAATCCATAAAATTATCCTTTCTAAGATATTTCCTTTTGACAATCCGAACCCACCAACTATCATCGATAATCAGCACTTTCAGTTTAGCTAAACAAGCATTATTAAAGTGATCTAGCCTTCTAATAGCTAGTCCTCCATGCTCTTTCGAGGAACATGCTTTATTCCACTTGGTTAAATCCATGTCTAAAACAATTACAACTTGGAAAAAAAAATAAAGCAATTGGAAGTCCTTTAAGAAGCACCTAATAAGTACTTAACAGTTAGAACCCAAAAACATTTTAACTTTTTTCTTCTGCCATAGAGTTTCCAAAGAGATTTTGACCCCTTTATAGAAGCATTCCCAAAAAGCACTTCTCAACCTTTACTAAGAAAAAGACTTACATGCTAAGTGTACACCATTACAATAACATCCTATGCCAATAAAATAAAGGTATGTAAAAGTTTTTGTCCACGTATCCTTTCATTTGCAATGCCATGTGGTCCCATACTAATAAAATAAAGATATATGAAAGTTTTTGTCCACATGTCGTTTCATTTGCAATGCCACGTGGTTGTATAGCCGTGCGTAAGTTGTTCTCCTTAAAAAGGCTACCCGTGTGTAAGTTGCTCTCCTTAAGAAGGCTTACAATCAATAACATCAGTACAAGATAACCAATCATTATGTTGTTTGAGAGTGGACATCCAATAAAATAACGAAGGTAAGTTCACGAACAAGTAATTCCACTGTAAATCCCGTCCAGTAATTAAAATCATATCAAGGACTGTCTACACGAGTTAAATCAGAGGTTATAAAATAACAACAAATTAGGTTACCGACTTGGCCGCCACCTATTTTACAGTTGGAACTCGAAATCTCAGTAAAACTACAATGAAAATTTTCAATTAGACAAACACATCACGTAGAGGGGAAAATAGGGTAAACCATTCGTCATCATCTCAAGTTTTCAAATCATCCAAGAAGCTCTGCAACTCTTTCAAACCTTCTGCGGAAAAACTCCGGTGCACTCTTGAGCGAGGGGCAATCAAATTAGGCGGAGGCTGTGGTTGGAAGCAAACGACGACAACAGCTAAGTTGTCCCCGCTCTTCCTCTTCAAAGCCTCATCAACCAAATCCTTGCTACATGCGGCTGGGTCATTGTGCTCCTGAAGCCTCCGACGAGCAAAATCCACAGCATTTTGACTCCTGAACACATCCCAGATCCCATCACAGCCAATGATAAGGAACTCATCCTCCTCTGTCAGTTTTGCTGTCATAAGTTCCGGCTCTGCACTCAGTGGCCCACCCTCCCTGCCCTTCATCCCTTCCATATGCCAATCTCCCAATGCACGAGCAATGTTAAGCTGCCCATTAAGGTAACCATCATACACGTATCCTCCAGATGCTTCGATACGTTGTTTCTCTTTGCTACAAATCGGTTTGTGATCTCTTGACATTTCAATTGCTTTGCCACGGCGGCACAGCACTGCTCGACAATCTCCAGCATTTGCTACCACCAACAACCTGGGAACACAAACTAAGATCAACATATGACTAATCAATGGCACACATCTGATGTTACGTCTGTTAGTACTATTTTGAAACTCATGGGACAAATTAACAGGACATGCATGAACGGAATAAACAGAGAAAATCCAGATCAAATCACAATCAACTAAACCAGTATGATTGGCCTAACAAACCCACTCACTGGCCTTCTGTATTAGATTATGACCATGTTAGCGTAACTTGTACACAGCTAAACAGGTCAACTAGATCATAGATTAACCACACCATAAGCAAATAATTTCAACAGAATACGACTAGGTTGCTTAATACTTTCCAAGTATTTTCTCCAGTCTTTATTTAAAACTCCAAGCTTTGCTTCAAAAGGCAATGGACCAACCCTTACAATTTAGGGTACTAACCTGATTATGCTTATAGTGTCATTGATCAACAATGAATCAAGTCAACAATTCATTCAGGAAAAAAAAAGAATTCAGGAATGAGACTAAAATTCAACAAACATGACAAATTCGGGGGAGTACAACACACGGTAGAAAAAAATGAAAGACAATAAAATTGATGCACATTGAACGGTCATGATACATGCATCTATAGTTCAGAGGTAGAGTAAACAAAAATAATCCAACCTTCCAATTAGAAGAGCTGTCAATGCAGTGGTACCAGAAGCAAGCTTGGCATCCAAGATGCAAGCTTCCTCAAAGGCAGTGTCAGTATGCAGAAATGCTGAAGTGACGACCCGTTCAATATCTGTAGGAAAGTCTTCATCCTCAAAAATGAACTTTGGCAAATGAGAGGAAGCAAAATCAGCAGCATGCTTTCCTCCATGTCCATCAAACACCTGACCAACCAATACGGTAGGAATGTTCAATTAGGAAATGCTGAAGATATATTAGCTAGCAAGTGCAAACATATAGATCACCATATTTAATATAAACAACAATACCACAGGACGGAAAGCTACCTCTGAAGAACTGAGGCATATAATAAACGAATGAAAACCAAACAATTCACGGTAGAATGTAATTGCACCGTGTGTAAGGAAATTCGTAAGAACATATGTAAGAGAAGACAAATACCCCATAGAAGGCATTTGGACCATTGTTACAATTCTTGAGCCCGTAATCGTTCACAAAATTGTCAACGCAGACATATACATCTTCCATGTTTGGACGAGACCCAATGTCATCCCATGCTCCAGAGCGGACAATTGGAATGAACTTAGATTCAAAGTTCTTTGCTTGAACTCCTGGTTCAACGTTGATCTCTTTTGTTTTCGTCTTCATCTGCAAAATCCCATTCACACATTCAAAAATTGCACCGCGGCCATAAAATTTACATTAGCCAATTTAATCGCTACGAAAACAGATCTTAAAAACTCTGAAAACAAAACCACTAATAGCAAGTAAGCATAATCAATCAAAACTCTAGAATTCAGTTATACACAATTAAATGCCTAAACATACAACTACTCACTAAACAACTAAGAAATCCAAATGGGAAAATGCAGAAGCAGAGGAATGAACGAAAACATACAAGAGATGGGTGTCGAACGAGCGATTTCTTGCACGGCACAGGAACGCCATCGGCGCGGCTGAAGCCACACTGCCAGTACGCGGACGTCGAAAGAGGGTTCGGAGGCCGACCCTCACTTGAGCTTCCATTCTCCACTTTACTTCCCTCCATAGTTCTCTACCATCAACATCCTCTTCCCCACCAACCCACCAAAATTCAAGTCTCCAAATGTGACTAACTGACCTTGTTCTGCTGAACGAAAAAGGGATTTAGCTGAAATGGTTATGTGGGTGCTGAATTTCGAAAAAAGTAGGATTTTTGGTAGTGAAATGATTTGGGATTACTGGAGGGGATGACTAATCAGTTGAATCCCCTGGGAATTGCTGTTTCTGAAACGAAAAGGTTCAATTTTGTTTTTACAATTGGATTTGGGGATTTAGGGTTTTGCAGGCGCAGACATTGAAAAGAATGGGAATTTTTGTGTCTAGGAAAGCAAGTACAAGAACAGGGTTTTAGAGAGAGAGAGAGAGAGAGAGAGAGAGTTAGGGTTTTAGAGAGTGACGAAATCTCAGTGAAAGCGATGCAGTGTGAGAGTTTTTGGGCGATCTACACGAAGACACTGGTTTCTGCTGAATGCTGAGATTTAACTGGTCGGTTTCTTAGGGAAACCAAAACTGCGTCGTATCGGCAACTGGCAGCAACAACGTTTTTGACTTCATAAGTCGCATGCTTTGGTCATTTTCGAGGAAGTGGATATTTTTAAAATGTAACTTAATTTAAAAATAAGGAGAAAGAGACAATCTGCATCAATGTACTGATCATCACTACCGTATGTCCTTAAATTTAAAGACCATGTGGCTTTCAATTAGCTGGAACTCTAATCTCTATGGTAGAGGAACAGACCAAAGACCCCAAATATTTCCTCACAATTGAGGACCACGCAGGGACTCAATTTGGGGTGGCCGGGGTGGGCCTATGTTCATTTTGAGTTGGGTGAAGTCCCAAGCACGTGAATGAGACTCTCGGAATGTTGTTTTTGTTTACTGGTAGAAGATCAAAGTTGTAATAGGTTTTTTTTATTTGTTTTTTGAATAAACGATATTATCTATACTAAGAGAGAGAGAGACAGAGAGAGAGAGAGAGGTAGGCTTAGCCACACAACATGTTAGCAATAATATGGTTCAAAGCCTTTAACGGGAATTGAATTTAAGATCTCTCACTTACAAGTGAAGAGAAATACCACTAAATTTAAGGATTATACTATAAAGACACTCTCATTGGATCTAATATTCTTTTAGGACATGTGTATTCCCATTAAGTCCCTAAATGAGTCCTCAAAGGTGGTGGTGGGAATCTCTGAATAGAGATTCTCATTGGAGATGCTCTTACGGTCAAATTGGGGACTCCTTATTTAGGAACCCTCGCCACTACATTTGAGAACTCATGTAGGAACTTAAAGGGAATCTTTGTGTTCCTAAAAGAATATTGCCTCCAAAGAAGAGTACTTATAGTAGAATCCTTATATTTGAGATTTTTATGATTTTATGTGATAATTTGATTAGGAGCAATTTTTTTAGTTAACTTTTTTTTTTATTAGTTATGTTGCCGTAAAATATTTTGTGAACATGTAGACCAAAAAAATTCAAATTCTAACACCAAATTGTTTTCTTCACACAAACGTATCTAGAATGACTTTATTATTGGATTATGTCATGCCTACGTCAAGACTTCGTTAAAGATTATATCATGTCTACGTCATGATCAGTTATGTGATTTTCATGCTTGGTTGGAGCCTCCCTTGAACCCGCCTTGGTAGCATTTACTAATTGGTCCAAAGTCAAACCAAGGTTAGAGCACTCAGCACTCCAACCAATACCAACGAAATTTAAACTAAAGATTTTTGGGTGCTATATGTGGATGCAAATTTCCGTTTTCTTCTTCTTGGACAAAGTTACACCTACAAAATAATTAACACATTAGGTCAAGGTCAAGAGCCTCACGCACTCACAATGAATGAGGGGGGGCTTTGGCCGAAGAATCTCCGATGCCAAAGTTAGAATTTAGAGGGAAAAGTGTTTGAAGAGTTTTTGGGAGTTTTGCAAGAGTGTGGAACCCCTCTTTCAAAGAAAATAGAGTCCTATTTATAGAGCATGGCCGGTCCCCTTTGGAGAAAAGGTGGCCGGCCCTTTGGGGTATTTTTGGTTTGTAATGGGTGATTAATTGGTATAATGGGTGATTAATGGATTGATTAGGAATTAATCCATTAATTAACCTAATTAATTTAATTTGTAAGAAAGGTTTTGAAGGTTATGGAATGATTTCCTTGTTGAGGATATGAAGTAAAGATGGATAAGATAAATTTGAACTTGTTACCTATTTTGGACACTTTTGACTCGGTTGATGGATGATTCTCAATTGCTTGCGTGTAAGAAACCCGATGTGTCTCAAGGGTAATTTTTTCCTCTTCATCTAAAAATTCACGTGTCGCCTCTTGATTATTTTTGGTTCCACACTATAGTACTCCAGTGTTTTAAACATTAGATTTTGATTTTGAGTGTACGTAGAAATATAGTACCGAGTACGATCCAGAATATTAATTAAAGAATTTTTGTTGTTCCAACTTATACTAATATGCAGGTGGAATGGCTTGATTTTCTCCAGCTTCTGCTGAAAGAGAGAGGTTTTGCAGGAGTCGTTGGTTGATTTTTTTGAATGTATGTGCAGAAAGAGAGAGCGACAAACAACATATATATATATATATATATATATATATTCTCTCTCTCTAACTGAGAACAGGAAACTCATTCCCATACGCATCTACAAGATAAAATCGTGGTAAGAGACGGCAAGCAACTATTGGTTCGTGATGGAGGGTCCAAACCCAGATGGCTTGTTTTAGAGAGCCACCGTTTATGTCTTTGTGTGCTTAAATTGATATACACGATCCCTCTCCTTCTTTCAGTGCTTAAATTCAGAGAGAAGAGAGAGAGAGAGAGATGACTGTTACAAACTTCAATTGCTGCCTCAATCCGCCACCTTCAAATCAAAATCATGGTACAAGCCCTTCTTTGCCCTTAAAGCAAAACCAATCACTTGCATGGTATGTGTAATCAAACCCAAATCTCATGCCTTGTATTTGTTGTGACAGATTTTGTCTTGTTGTCCTTATTTACGTATTGAGTGGCTAAACATTCATCGTGAAAATTTATAATTGAATAATTAGATCATTCAGCGCTCTCACGTGATAGAAATACCTCATCCAATATTTTTTTCTCTCTTTTTTTATAATGACCAATTGGAAGTTATGCATGAAGAGGTCATTTTGGTGTTTAATTATGTCAAATATTTATGTGTAGGAACAAATATGGTCATGGATCATGGACTAATCGATGCGTTTTAGGTATGAATTGCATCGCAATTGGATTGGAAATGGGAACCCTAGTAAGCAACCAAAACTATGAAGCCATTGCTAATGCTATGCCTTCGCCGTTGGAAATAGAAACATCAAGTGATCAGAGGGTAGCAAAATGGATTGACAAAAGAATGTGCCCACAATGGAGCCCTAATTCACTAGAGACCATTGTGCCTGAAAATCTTCCTAGACCATCTGCTCAAAGGAGATGGGAAACCGTTGGTTTTTCTAACAAGGATGCTCCGGCGGTTCAAATGGTAGTTAGAAAAGGTGGCAACTGCTTTGCTAAGTAGATTTACAATTTGATACACCATGTATATGAACCATCTTGATAGCCAAATACAGAATCAATGAAGTATCACCAAGTAGGCATTTTATCTGTTGGATTCTTCTTCATTGTGGGAAAAATGTGAACCAGATATTTGTAAAAATTTGGAAGCTATGCAGTAAAACATTTGATTTTTAGAATTACATAGATTATAGTTTAGTACGTAGTACATGCATTACAAACTTTGGAAGTTGTTTAAAGAAAAATAAAAATAAAAAACAAAAACACAGAAAAGTACTAATAGGAGCCTCCTTTCAGATGGTCAACTATTCGAGGAGGGCTAGTGTCATAGAGGAAATCAGGCCAACTATTCGAGGCGGAGGGCTAGTGTCCTAGTGAAAATCAAGCACCCTTGTCGCCTTCCTTGTTATAGGCTTTTCCACTTCCCTTCTCCTTCATAATCCCACCTAGCTATTGACAAAAAAGAAATGGGTCAACTATTTTTCCTATGCCTCAAATGCGTCGTTGAAGATTTTTTAGTATGTTGCTGTGTATATATGTTTATTATTAAATTTTTGTTGAATGATTCAATCCTTAATTCTTTTAGTATGCTTCGTTGCATTTTATACATCGAGTATTTTAGTGGTTAGATTCTTGGTTAAAAATTTAATAGTCAAAATTGGTGCAATGTAGAATAAAACGTACATGCCCAAAAGGTTCCGAGTCTTAACCCAATATCATATGTAGTACAGAGAAAATGCGTGTCAGTTTTCCTTCCTATCTTCTCCTTGTCATTCTGTTGCCATGCATAACGACAATAGCGACAAAAGAAGCTATAATGTGAGCATATAATTTTCCCCCACTTGAAGAGTTCCAACGACTCTCATCATCCTCTTTCTTCAGTAAGAACAACATACAGTGTAGCTGATTCATGAATGTGCACTAGCCTGGAGCTAGTTCCGTAATCGAAACAATGAAACATTTGATCCTATGACCGCGGGCATGCCCGATCTAGGTGGAAATGTTTTTGGTTCCGAGGGTACTGGGAGAGTGATGGAGTTGCTATTTGTTCATGGACGTCCTGCTAAGGCTCCAAAAATTATTGAGGTGTTGTGGCGCCCGCCTTCTCAGTCTTGGATCAAGGTAAATACTGATGGTGCTACAAGAGGTTCCCTTGGTGTGCCTGCATTTGGTGGTATCTTTCGGGATTTTACAAGTCATTCTCTGGATTGTTTTGCGGGTTCAATAGGCTTGACCTCTTCTTTGGACTCCGAACTATGCGCTATTATTCATGAATTCTTTAATGGTTAGGGTTTGGCCTCATGCCCCTTGAGATATTGTATTTTTCTTATTTATCAATAAATTTTCCTCAAAGTCACTTCCCATGATAGCAATGCTGGAGTGGGATGAACTTTGCTGTCAAATTTAATTAGATCATTCAACACTCTCACGTGATAGAAATACCTCATCCAATATTTTTTTCTCTCTTTTTTTATAATGACCAATTGGAAGTTATGCATGAAGAGGTCATTTTGGTGTTTAATTATGTCAAATATTTATGTGTGTAGGAACAAATATGGTCATGGATCATGGACTAATCGATGCGTTTTAGGTATGAATTGCATCGCAATTGGATTGGAAATGGGAACCCTAGTAAGCAACCAAAACTATGAAGCCATTGCTAATGCTATGCCTTCGCCGTTGGAAATAGAAACATCAAGTGATCAGAGGGTAGCAAAATGGATTGACAAAAGAATGTGCCCACAATGGAGCCCTAATTCACTAGAGACCATTGTGCCTGAAAATCTTCCTAGACCATCTGCTCAAAGGAGATGGGAAACCGTTGGTTTTTCTAACAAGGATGCTCCGGCGGTTCAAATGGTAGTTAGAAAAGGTGGCAACTGCTTTGCTAAGTAGATTTACAATTTGATACACCATGTATATGAACCATCTTGATAGCCAAATACAGAATCAATGAAGTATCACCAAGTAGGCATTTTATCTGTTGGATTCTTCTTCATTGTGGGAAAAATGTGAACCAGATATTTGTAAAAATTTGGAAGCTATGCAGTAAAACATTTGATTTTTAGAATTACATAGATTATAGTTTAGTACGTAGTACATGCATTACAAACTTTGGAAGTTGTTTAAAGAAAAATAAAAATAAAAAACAAAAACACAGAAAAGTACTAATAGGAGCCTCCTTTCAGATGGTCAACTATTCGAGGAGGGCTAGTGTCATAGAGGAAATCAGGCCAACTATTCGAGGCGGAGGGCTAGTGTCCTAGTGAAAATCAAGCACCCTTGTCGCCTTCCTTGTTATAGGCTTTTCCACTTCCCTTCTCCTTCATAATCCCACCTAGCTATTGACAAAAAAGAAATGGGTCAACTATTTTTCCTATGCCTCAAATGCGTCGTTGAAGATTTTTTAGTATGTTGCTGTGTATATATGTTTATTATTAAATTTTTGTTGAATGATTCAATCCTTAATTCTTTTAGTATGCTTCGTTGCATTTTATACATCGAGTATTTTAGTGGTTAGATTCTTGGTTAAAAATTTAATAGTCAAAATTGGTGCAATGTAGAATAAAACGTACATGCCCAAAAGGTTCCGAGTCTTAACCCAATATCATATGTAGTACAGAGAAAATGCGTGTCAGTTTTCCTTCCTATCTTCTCCTTGTCATTCTGTTGCCATGCATAACGACAATAGCGACAAAAGAAGCTATAATGTGAGCATATAATTTTCCCCCACTTGAAGAGTTCCAACGACTCTCATCATCCTCTTTCTTCAGTAAGAACAACATACAGTGTAGCTGATTCATGAATGTGCACTAGCCTGGAGCTAGTTCCGTAATCGAAACAATGAAACATTTGATCCTATGACCGCGGGCATGCCCGATCTAGGTGGAAATGTTTTTGGTTCCGAGGGTACTGGGAGAGTGATGGAGTTGCTATTTGTTCATGGACGTCCTGCTAAGGCTCCAAAAATTATTGAGGTGTTGTGGCGCCCGCCTTCTCAGTCTTGGATCAAGGTAAATACTGATGGTGCTACAAGAGGTTCCCTTGGTGTGCCTGCATTTGGTGGTATCTTTCGGGATTTTACAAGTCATTCTCTGGATTGTTTTGCGGGTTCAATAGGCTTGACCTCTTCTTTGGACTCCGAACTATGCGCTATTATTCATGAATTCTTTAATGGTTAGGGTTTGGCCTCATGCCCCTTGAGATATTGTATTTTTCTTATTTATCAATAAATTTTCCTCAAAGTCACTTCCCATGATAGCAATGCTGGAGTGGGATGAACTTTGCTGTCAAATTTAATTAGATCATTCAACACTCTCACGTGATAGAAATACCTCATCCAATATTTTTTTCTCTCTTTTTTTATAATGACCAATTGGAAGTTATGCATGAAGAGGTCATTTTGGTGTTTAATTATGTCAAATATTTATGTGTGTAGGAACAAATATGGTCATGGATCATGGACTAATCGATGCGTTTTAGGTATGAATTGCATCGCAATTGGATTGGAAATGGGAACCCTAGTAAGCAACCAAAAATATGAAGCCATTGCTAATGCTATGCCTTCGCCGTTGGAAATAGAAACATCAAGTGATCAGAGGGTAGCAAAATGGAGTGACAAAAGAATGTGCCCACAATGGAGCCCTAATTCACTAGAGACCATTGTGCCTGAAAATCTTCCTAGACCATCTGCTCAAACGAGATGGGAAACCGTTGGTTTTTCTAACAAGGATGCTCCGGCTGTTCAAATGGTAGTTAGAAAAGGTGGCGACTGCTTTGCTATGTAGATTTACAATTTGATACACCATGTATATGAACCATCTTGATAGCCAAATACAGAATCAATGAAATATCACCAAGTAGGCATTTTATCTGTTGGATCCTTCTTCATTTTGGGAAAATTGTGAACCAGATATTTGTAAAAATTTGGAAGCTATGCAGTGAAACATTTGATTTTTAGAATTATATAGATTATAGTTTAGTACGTAGTACATGTAGTACAAACTTTGGAAGTTGTTTAAAGAAAAATAAAAAACAAAAACACAGAAAAGTACTAATAGGAGCCTCCTTTCAGATGGTCAACTATTCGAGGTGGGCTAGTGTCATAGAGGAAATCAGGCCAACTATTCGAGGAGGGCTAGTGTCCTAGTGAAAGTCAAGCACCCTTGTCGCCTTCCTTGTTATATGCTTTTCCACTTCCCTTCTCCCTCATAATCCCACCTAGCTATTGACAAAAAAGAAATAGGTCAACTATTTTTCCTATGACCTCAAATGCGTCGTTGAAGATTTTTTAGTATATTGCTGTGTATATATGTTTATTATTAATTTTTTGTTGAATGATTCAATCCTTAATTCTTTTAGTATGCTTCGTTGCATTTTATACATCAAGTATTTTAGTGGTTAGATTCTTGGTTAAAAATTTAATAGTCAAAATTGGTGCAATGTAGAATAAAACGTATATGCCCAAAAGGGCCATGACAGAAAAATTCCGAGTCTGAACCCAATATCATATGTAGTACAGAGAAAATGCGTGTCAGTTTTCCTTCCTATCTTCTCCTTATCATTCTGTTGCCATGCATAACGACAATAGCGACAAAAGAAGCTATAATGTGCACTAGCGTGGAGCTAGTTCCGTAATCGAAACGATGAAACATTTGATCCTATGACCGCGGGCATGCCCGATCTAGGTGGAAATTTGTTTGGTTCCGAGGGTACTGGAAGAGTGATGGAGTTGCTATTTGTTCATGGACGTCCTGCTAAGGCTCCAAAAATTATTGAGGTGTTGTGGCGTCCGTCTTCTCAGTCTTGGATCAAGGTAAATACTGATGGTGTTACAAGAGGTTCCCTTGGTGTGCCTGCATTTGGTGGTATCTTTCGGGATTTTATTGGTCATTCTCTAGATTGTTTTGCGGGTTCAATAGGCTTGACCTCTTCTTTGGACTCCGAACTATGCGCTATTATTCATGAATTCTTTAATGGTCAGAGTTTGGCCTCATGCCCCTTGAGATATTGTATTTTTCTTATTTATCAATAAATTTTCCTCAAAGTCACTTCCCATGATAGCAATGCTGGAGTGGGATGGACTTTGCTGCCAAATTTAATTAAAAAAAAATTGTTTGGCCTTTCAACAATCCAATCTAAATGCTTCTCATTGCTTCAGTATTTAAGTCGTTGATCC